TATATATATATATATATATGCATATGCATGTATATATATTTTTATATACTTATATGAAAGCAGCATATTATTCTATTATTCATATCATGTTAAGTATAGCTTAAAATTACAGAACTCTATGATTACAATTCATAAGGATGAAACAAAAATATCTAAATTATGAAACAAAGAGTTCTGATCTTAAATTAAGAATCCATTTCACTGAACACTTCACATATGCAGTGGCTCAGGTCACTCCTTCAACCTATTATGTGTTCAGTAAAGGCACAATCAGACTAAATGAACCTACGTACCTGAATAGTCATCAGTTCCATAATCTTCTGTAGGGTCTTCAACTGGACTAGAGCGAACTCTTTCCACTTTTGGAAAATCATTTCTTGGTGAGTAAGGCTGAATGGATGTTCCATACAGGACTAAGGACCACTCTTTCAATTTGCCTAGAAGTATTTAAAAACTAGTTTTAGAGACCATTTCTGTTTGCTGTGTTTTACAAAAACATATAATTTGTAAACATGACTTTGTCCACAGGTATGGAAGACACTGCTTTTCAAATAATTGTCTGCAGTTCAATATTCTGTAATCACTGCTTCACTATAAACTGAGAAAAGATACTTTCCTCAATCACCGTTTTTATTTTCAGCCTCTTGTAGGTCCAGCAGTAGTTGTACTATGGATTGAACTCAATTTAAACAATAAGCAACAAAACCTTACGCCATACGGTTATCTGGAAAATGTTCATGGCACTCAACAAGGAGCTTTTGTCCTGAGTTTCACTTTCCCTCATTAACATTGATTATCCAGTAATTATTATTTGAGATCTTTTAGCTACGTAGCTGTATTCAGAATTCTGACTTAAGAAAGAAAGGGGTTACATTTTGTTTGTTACTCAAGAGTACTTCTTGTTGGCTTAGAGGAGACAACTCGATTAACAGGATACAACTTCTTTTAAAATCTCCACAGTAGAACACCCGTGTCCCCTCTTAAACCAACACAATCTCTTATTTATTCTCCTTAGTTATTTGGAAGGTATAGCATTACATTCTCTGTGTTCATCACTAATATTATATCCTCTCAGTACTCGAGTGAAGAAACAATGCCTGCAGCATTATCTGACTTTTTTTGAAAGGTGGGTTTTTTTTTTTTTTTTTTTGGTGTAAAAATAGAACAATAAGTGTATATCAAGTCATTATTTCAGACTGGCAGGACACAAAGTGTGAACTTTATTCCCCACTTTTCTGTCTATACTACCTGGTGGATTAATTTTGTGAAAGAATGAAAGGACTCCGGCCTAAAATAATGCCTAAAGTAATGATGTATAACAAGCACATCCCTCCTTGCAAAGATGGAACTTAAGTTTGATTTTATCCTATTCTCTTTATTGTATTTAACTGTGTTGGAGTAGCTAGCTGTAAATGTCCAAGTTCTCATCAGAACTGAATGGAAACAGGAGAGCAGGGAGTATTTATTTTCTGAATTTGAAAGATCCTGTTTTGGAGGCTGTTATGTGATTAAAGTACTCTTCCCTTAGAACTATTATTTAAAAAGAAATGTAATCCAGGTATGTTTCTTCTTAAGAAAATAACTTAGTTTGCTTCTTGTAAAATTAAATTCAAGCAATCTTCTACTTTTTCATTTTAATGATACTCAATAATTTGAACTTTCATATTGTTCACTTGGAATATTTCAACCTGTGCAAGCAAATTACTCAGACCTTTGAAGTGATTTTTTTGTATATTCCCCAACGTCACCTGCTGTCCTCCATTGACATGACCAAGACAATACAATATCTCTTGGCTCTAACATTCATCTTTCAAGCAGTAAGCAACAGTAAGCAAAAACACCACCTGACAGATGATAGCCCAATTCTTTTAAATGTTACATACTGGTGTTAAAGATGGGAATCTCTGTTATCTCTCTGTCTCTTGCCAACCCAATTAATCTTTCTGGGATAGAAATGTCTACACTTTGGAGTAAACCCTCTCTGCTCTATACTCAGTTTTTGAGAAGAAACTGTAGGCAAGATTCTACATCACACAACAGCTGTTTCACACTGTAGCTTCCAACTTTTCACAGCTAAAGCAAAACTTTAAAGAGACATTCAAGCCCATTTTAAAAAATTGTTGAAGAGTCTATCACAGCTACTGTTCAAGTACTGCCTACTTACCTTGGCTGTAAAACTTCATGCACCTTATTTTTGATTTGTCTTTTCCTGTCTAGCTCACAGCCATGTAGCTATTTAGTCCTTACTAGATTAAAAGGACCCAAATCACATACTGTCTTCTTGTACAGACATACAGGGATCAAGCTACCTTTCAATGTTCTTCAGAGTGACTCAGCTAGGTCCTCAAAGACACTTTTGTTTTTAGCAAATGAGTCACACAGGGAGCTCATTTTTAACCAGATATGAAATCATCTCTACAGCCTTTTCAAAGCTACAGCTTCTTCATGTACAGGCTCTGGTTTTTTTTTGTGTTTTAACCCACTTCTGCATCATATGGACCACAATGTATTTGGTGTAATTAAAACATGTGCTTTGCTAAGTTATTCAGACCTTTTCATCCTTGTCATTACTATGCTCCAGACAGTAAAATTCCCAAGGGTTGATTTTATACTTCTTCCAAAACACTGGTAAAAATACTGAATAACAGAAAAATGTATTTGCAAGGACCCACTAAAAATAAACATAGGTAAAGATGCTCCTTAGGCATAGGGTATTTTGTCTGGACTTTACACACATGGAAGGGCTAGTACTAACACCACTGCAAGAAGTACTAGTGTTCTGAATGTATACCTAATGCCAAAGGGCAGCGATGGGAATAATGCACAGTCTCACAAGAGATTAGGAGACTTTTAAGAATGGTTCAGTAAATAAAGAGGGGAAAAATTCATGTGACTTGCCAGCAAATAAATGAAGTCTGCCTCAAGGCAGGCTTAATTTGCACAATGAAAATATTTCAATATCTAAGTATATATACATACACACGCGTGCTGCTATAATGAATAAACAAAGTGTGCGCATTTAAGCCAGAATCTTTCTTTCCCT